CTCCTATACTGTCAGGGATGGCAGCTGTGCCCAAACACTGGGAAAGCAGGATACCCAATCATCAGAGCACCAAGAAACACACGCCAGCATGGAACCGTTAAACAGGAAGCAGGACATTACAGTACAGCTAATCTGGCAAATTTCTATAGATCATGAGATGGGTCTAATTAATTCCTCCCTAAAACTTGCCTCCTTATGACAAGCAGGCCAGAAAGTTCATAAACAATTTTAATTTTTTAAAAATATTTATCCGATATGTCCCTGTGTTTTAAAAATAAAGAAAACCTCTCTTTTTCACTCCAGTTCTAAATGGTGGAGATGTTGGAGTGATCTCCCAGCTTGTAAACCTAGCAACTTTCCAAAATAGTCAGTTAAAATAATACAGTTGTTACCACAAAGACTCAGAAGTCAGAAAACCTACGTCTGTGGTAGTAAATCCATTAAGCAAAAAGGGAGAACAGGAAATCATTTTCTGTTCTGGAAATAGTTTAAGGCCTCCATCTGTTAGCTGACATTTTTTCATTTGAATTTCGGGAGAAAACATTCACAGGAAGAAATTAATCATCAGGTTGGCAAGGGGACCATATCTTGCTACACAGAGGTTGAAGCGTTGCTATCTGTACTCGCAACATAAAACCAACTGTGTGATTCAGGCAAGGTAAGGAAAAAGAGCTCTACTGAGTGTAACAGTTAATGGATCACAAAAGGTTTGCTGTGGCATCACAAATAGAAAAGGAAACAAGAAAAACAGTAACAAACTGAAATAAGGACAAAGTTCACACACAAAAATAATTGAAGATTTATGATTAACATGTATTTATAATCAGAGGGAAAATAAACACAATTTTTTTAAAAGAAAATAATGAATAACAGATTACTTCTGCAATATTTTTCATTTCAAAAAGGGTCAGTAATGCAGACACCCTAAGTACAGGACCACCACATTCTGTGTTGGGGAAATGAAAGGAACTGTCCAAGGGAGACACACATTCTAACTTTCAAAAAGTTTTTTCAAAACATTTCTAGTCATTCTGAAATTTTCTTAACATATGCAACACACATCTCTGCCTTCTGATATGGAATATACTAGAAATAATTTAACCTTTTTCCAATGTCTCAGAGACAGCATTATGAACATGACTTTCTCAGTGGAAACTGACAGCAACCAGGGTCAGTCAGGGAGCAATGAAGTGCCAATATTTACTGAGCACCTACTAAGTGCTTCACTCATACAATAACATTTCAATTAAATTTCATTTTATCTTCCCAGTAAATCTATCAGAGGATGAAGAAACTGAAGCAGAGAAAATGGTCCCTGGCCTCCCAGACAGTAAATGGAGGCTGCAAGGGGAACTCAAGTCTGCCTGTCAAGGCTGAAAAAGGCTTGTCACTCCAGGCCGGTGCCTCTAGCTGCACACACCTAAACAAAGTAAAGCCGCGCTGTGGTGCAGTGGAGTTCTAGGACCGGATACCATATCTTGTTTCTTCTTTCACTGCCATTTTTTTGTCACTATCCAAAAACTAGCCTCTGAAACTATCCCCTTGCAATATCTTCCAGAACTCTGGAAAAATTATGCCAAAAAAGCGAAGTTTATTAGAATCAGTCAAATTTAACTGTAAATAGACTCTGGATGAAGGCCTCAACTACAAGTAAAGGGTAAGATTTTTTAAAGCCTATAGCCCAATATCTACTTTGGCTGCCCTTTCTGGCAGGGCCACATTTCAAATGGGTGAAGTTCTCTATTAGGAGATGTGTTACTATAATCTGTTACTACAACCAAGGTGAGAGATGCATGTACCAGGGACATTTTGGCAACACTGAAAAGGAAACACAAAACTTTTTAAAGAGACGTTCTTAAGGGACACAAGAAGTAATGCACACCAGAAACCGAAAAGAACAAGATACCATTCTAGAAGGGGTAAACCTTTGGATTTGCTAAACTGAGCAGGAGAGGTAAGTTAAAATTAGAAGAAGAAAATGCTGGCAACAGGAGATAAATACAGCCAAAAAGAGGCTAAAGGGCAATGAATAGAAAATGTTAGATCATTAGAAAGTGCAGTAGCATTAAAGAACAATTGTTTTCATGGTAAGAAAAATGGTAATGCCACTGACAGTAGAATAAACTTGTCTTTTTCCCTACTCTTGGGGCAACAGTTTGCCCTGCATCCTCCCCTTTTTCATGGACTTAAAACATTGTCGATTTTTTTTTCAGTCTGTTTGGTTTTTACTTGTTAGGACAGAGTAACAACTTCCAAGCTCCTTATATTAGAAACTGGAAACCAGATGCCAAATTCAAGGTGTTTTGTTTTTTGGTTTCCCTATTATTTGTTTTTTTTTAAACCAAGAGATGTTAGTAATGTGGTATGTGGTGGAAACTTGATAATAGGAGAGAATATAGTAACCACAATGTTGCTCATGTGAAACCTGAGCATTAGATTGTATATCAATAATACCTTAAAAAAAAATGAGATGTTAGAAATTGCTGACAGTGCCTTTCAGGCCCAAAAGTAAAGGCACTGCCAGTATAGTGCAGCCAGTCAAAGTTCAGAGAAACACAAGCGATAATGTGTGCTGCCCAATGGTCTCCTCAACTACGTCAGTCTGACCTGTTTTCATCCTTAGGCCTGAGCACCTTTCTGATGTGCATCTGAGATGCTAGCTTCCCACTGGGACCAGCAGTGCCTCCACTGGTGAACTCGAATTACCAGCCCTACAGCCCAATCCTTCCCTACCTCCTGGACTGCAGTCTCCCATTATAGCCCAAACTCAGTTCCTCCCACCCAGAGTGGGGCAGCGGCAGAGTTATATAATTCTAAGATTTCTGGATGGCAGACAACATGCTCATCTTAAAAGAGACGTTTTTTTTTCAAATCACATAAACAGATTATCTTCCAAAGAGCACAGTATGAAAAAAAGGAAGATGAAAAAAAAGTAATTTGACATTGGAGTAACATGACAAACACCAAGTCAAGAGAGGTGATGGAGCTGAACCTCTACAGTAGTGAGCCAGTTGAGAACATGTGCCTTTGATAGGATGTAATGAGAAAGGCACTTCACATCTGTGTTTGTTCTCCCCAAACCATATGATCTCAGTCCAATTATGAGAAAAAAACACAAGTCCCAACTGAAGGACGTTCCACAGAATAACTGACCAGTACTGCTCAAAACTGTCAAGGTCAAAAAAAGAAAGGTAAGTCTGAGTCACAGTCACAACCAAGAGAAATCTAAGGAGGCGTGATGGCTGAATGCAAGGTGGAATCCTCATAAATGATACTAGAACAGAAAAGGGATATTGGGTAAAAAGTAAAGACACTGAATAAAGTATGGACTTTGGTTAATAATAATGCATCCATACTGGGTTATTAATTGTGACAAATGTACCATGCTAATGTAATAGGGAAAACCAGTGTGGGTTATACAGGAACTCTCTATCTTTGTAATAATTTCATAAATCTGAAAGTGATCCAAAATAAAAAGGTTATGTTTTTAATCCTACACAGTTAAGTTTTTTTTTTAATCACATAAAAAAAAGTCAACAACATAAACATTAAAACTTTTGGATGATACAAAAATTTGTACAAAGAATAGCAATTGGGGGAGATATGTAACAAATATGACAACAGATTAAAGTGTATATGTATTTTAAGTTCATATGTATGTAAGACAAACATCGAGAAAAAAGTTAAACAGGCAAGACTACAATTCATATAAAAGAAAATGCAATGTAACAATGATAATGAAGAAAAAATTTAAAACACTGAAACAATTATGTGACATTTAAGTAGAAAAAGTGTTTCAAATAACAGCCAGTGATGGTGATGCTACATTTAAAACCAATTCATTTACACAGCATTGGTAACCAAACAAAGTGATAAAACTCTTTTCAAAGTGCTACAGACTGAACTGTATCCCCCCTAAAATTTGCACGTTAAAGCCCTAACCTCCAATGTGATGGTATTTTGGGATGTGGCCTTAGGGATGAGGTTTAGATGAGGTCCAGAAAGTAGCGCCCTCATGACAGGCTTAGTGCCTTTATAAAAGAAGAGACATCAGGGCGTTTGCATACTCTCTCCCTCCCTCCCTCCCTCCCCTCCCCTCTCTTCCTCTGTTCCCCTCCTCCATCCCTCCTCCTCTCTGCCTCTGCCTCTCCCCTCTCTCAGCCATGTGAACACACAGTGAGAAGACAGCCCCATGTGCAAGTGAGGAGTGCTCTCACCAGAACCTGACCTGCTGGCACCCTGATCTTGGACTTCCAGCCTCCAAATCTATGAGAAAATCAATTTCTGTTGATTAAGCCACCTAGTCTGTGTTATTTTCTTATGGCAGCCCAAGCTACTACAGAAAGGCCATCTGAGATAAAGCAAATAAAGAGCAATAAAAACATTCATCCCTTTTAAACAGTAGCCTTACATCTGTGAAGTTAATTCACAGATAACTGAGATATTTCAAAAATAGGACAAAGTTATACACATGAAAATATTTATTACTTAGGTTTAAATTTTAATCCAGGAACAGCCTAAATGTCTAACAATGGGGAAATGAATAAGTAATTATGGTGTTCTACTTGAGCTAATATGATGTCATTAAAATCATTTTAAAAACTCTGTGGGCTTATAGGAAATGCTTATAACAAAATTAAGTGCAAACCAAAATAAAAAATTAAGTGCAAAGCAAAAATCTGCAATATGTGGCTAACCATGTTAGTAAGTATGGACACGATGTAAAAGGTTCAGCTATAATATTTAACTTGTTGGAAAAGATTTCTTTCTTTTATTTTAGTTCAAATAATGTTACAAGAAATAATACTCAAAAATATATTTGATAGTAACTTTAGATTGATCCTTTCTTAGGCATAATCACATTCTGAATCTTGAATTACAGAGGAGTGACTTGTTTCTGATGGCAGTTACTACTCTCAAAAAATAAAAATGAAATATTAACATTTATACAAGAACCATCAGTGTTTCTTCACTACATACTTTATTACATTACTACTTACATCGAGATGGTTTCCAAGGCATCTTCAAAGATGTCCTGGGGGAACAAAAAATATAATGAGTTTCTCGACAATCAAGAAAACAAGTGTGTGTGTGCAGGCGGGGGCAGTTCGGGGATACAGCGGAATCCTCAGCTCTCACTAATGGGATGTCTTTCTGAGAAATCAAGCTTATAAATTTAAGTGAAGTTTCTTTGTTTTTTTAATTGAGGCTGGTAAAATACCTAGCTACCAATCAAACAGGGCTAATTTGAAAAGAGAGTGATTTCTTTAATTTTCATTCCTCAGTCTCATTCATCCCAGATACGGAGCAAAACAAAAAACAGCACTTGCCCGTCTACTCTGCTTTCTCCATGGCAGCCACGCAGTCATCCTCTGGGCCTTCATTTCACATCTAACCTCACTGCCCTCCTAGTCTTCCTACAACCACCCTCTCCTCCCCATTTAATCCCTACCAAAACAGCCCTTTCCTTCATGCCGCTGGCCTGTTCAAAGGCTCCAACAGGAAAAAAAACAATACGCACACACACCTTCATATGCACTCACGAATCCACACACACACCACACTCATACACACTGACTCACACTCATAAACCCACAGTCATACACTCACTCTCAAACTCACATATACACAGAGCTGCAAAAATAAAATCCAGGCTGCTCTCGTCCAGGTATTTGGGACCTATCATCACATAGTCTGATCTTCACAGCACCCTGCTCCCTACATCCCCACCAACATCACCATAGACCAAGCACCAGGACTCTCTGGTCTCCATACTCCCACTCAACACCCTCCATTCAGTCCTTCACACAACAGCTGTAGGTATTCTTTACTTTCTCTTCTTTTAACAAGCCCATTCCATTCCAGTGCTTTAGACCTCTTTAAGAGCTCTCCATTGCTTTTAAAATGGACCCAACCAAACTCCTTTCCATGCTCTTCAAAGCCTGAAATGGCTCTGCCAGCCTTGGATCATCTCTCCACCCACCCACCCCCTTGCTCACTCCACTTCTGGCACACGCCTGTCTACTTTTGAACAAGCCAAACTCATCCCACACCTCTCTGCAGTGTTCTCTCTTTTCTAGAATGCTCGTCACTCAACCCTTCCCATGGCTGACTCATTCTCATCCTTCAGCTTTCAGCTCAGGAAGTGGCCTCCTTTCAGAGACTGCCTCTGAGAACCCTAATTAAAACTACTACGAATAGCAGTTTACTTACAGTTTCTTATCATCTGATTTACTTCATTCATACAATAATGCTTATTGTAACCTCTGATCATCTTGTTTACTTGGTTACAATCTGTATCCATCAGGACAGGTTCTTACCATGTTTACAGAAAAATTGCCAGGGTTTGGCAGAGACGTTGCCTAATGAATGAGTAAACTGAGTGTGGTCTGGCAAGGCAATGATCACTACCTCATTTAGAGCTATGATACAGAAATGAGGAAAGCGGCAGCAGAATTTCTCCCTTTGTGTAATAATTACTGCTGAACAATGATTAGAGTATACTGGATTCTGCATTTCGGCAGGAAAGGAAAACAATAATACTAAATACTAAAAAAAAGGTTGTATATAGTGGCAGAACTGAGCTTAGAATCTGGGATCTCTGACCAGTTAATCTACGTTAATACGGTCCTCTGCTAGGGAGAGAGGGAGTATCAAGGGCCGTTTCGTCTGCTCCTCACTTCACTCTCTCACATGAACTTAAGCCAAAAAAGTAAAAAAGCTGATTCTCTGGTCTCTATAAAAATTCCTAACTAGAAAAAGACTCCTTTTTCCAAATCAAAAGTCTGAAGAAGCTCTTGGTATGAACAGATTTTTGTCATTCTGAGTCACAGCCCAGTGTCACACATGCCAGCACACGGTTATAATGCCAGCAGCTGTGGACTCCAGTTGAAACACAGGAGTCAGAGAAGCGCCCAGATCTTTCCTATTTAATGAAAGTAGGACAGGAAAGCACATGCTGCTGACAAATACAGGGTGGTCAGAGGACAGCCTCAGCGTTGAAGTCCCCGTGTGCCAGCTCTATATTTGCCTCCCCCATTCCGATGCTAGCCAACCTTAAGGGGCCACTGCCCTCGGCCAGAGCATAATAAGTGTCTGCTTGAGCCACACCTCGTGCCTGATCATACACTGCCTCAAAATGGTCTCTGACTTTTTCAAGAGCCTATCTGATTCCCTGGCTGGAGTCAAGGGCCATCACACCTCTTTTGAACCCACTTTATAACCCAGCACAGTACTTCGCACTTAATAAACTCTTAGCAAATAATTTTTGGCTGACTGACTGGCTGAGTACCCTTGTCTTGAGCAGTTTCATTTTGCAGTTTAGTAAAGGAGCTAACCCTGTTACGTGAAAGATTCCCTGGAGGACCTTCCGGATGCGAGGCTAGCACTCCAGGGCCTGCTCCCTGGTGGACAGAGGACCCTGAGCGCAGAAACAGATGCAGAAGTGAGCAAAGGGCAGGGGGGCTACATCAATACTAAGGCTTTTCTAAACAATTCTCATCTTAATCTGTTAACTTTGTCACATTCTGAGGATTGAAAATGCAAGCAGGTGTATTGAAGTGACCGCAAGTTCTTATTAAATGTTTTAGAATCTTAAATAGTGAAGGCACTAATGATGAAAACATTTACATTGTTTTTATTCCTAGAGGGGAGAGACAACGAATAAAGTTAACAAATAAGCTATTAACAGCAGTAATTTAAATACTCTGTAATTTCCAAAGAGAACAAAGATTTACAAACTTTTCAGGCCTCCCCATCTGAATTTTACTTACTTTGTGGTATGAAAAGGGAAATGGGGCACATAGTGCTCCAAGGAAGAGGATGTCAGAAGGAACATGACAAACTAAAACTAGGTACTACAGATCCAGAGAGTCGAGTCACCTCTCTAGGGCCTCTCTCTCTCTCTCTTTATCTCCTCCTTACCCCCTTCCTCTGCCTCCATTTTCCCTCTGTCATATGGATGGCTTCCTGGGGCTGTGACCTGAGGCTACCATGTTCTCACTTAACTGTTGTTTAGAAGGTAATGACAAGATTTGATGGGACTCTAGACACCTTCCTCCCTGGTGAAAAGCACCTGCGACCCCACAGCAACAGGCCCTCCTCTCTAGAGTTTCACCCAACATTCCATTCTGTTGGCCAAAGAAGCTGTGTGTTTGGTACCAGGGACTCGAGAACCCTAGAACTGCTGAGAATGCTGATGCATCACAGATTCTACACCTGGCCCTGGGGCACAGCCAGAAAATTCCCAGGGAGATGGAACATGAAGAGGATGCCCCAGGCTCCCCTGTGACTGGGGGAGGGGTTAATAACCACGGGTAACAGGCTCCTAAGACTGCAAACACTCCTCGGCATGACATTCACCCCTGGCAAATAAAGATGTTCGAAACACGAAACTAGATTGACATCAGATTTTATACTTTGCCATTTATCATAGTGACATACCAGGAGGATTTCTCAAATAGTGAATGTAGATCTTTTCACATGTAAAAAGAGAGGGCACACTGCTAATTAAATGAATCGTGTGAAAAATCATAAGTTTCAATGACATCATTTCCCACTGTAACTTCACTAAAGTATTTTTTCCAAGTCAGAATTAAAATGCAATTTTGTTGTGTATCCATGAAGTGACTTTTAGGGGGAAAAAAAGCCTTTTTTTTTAAATATATGTGCCCTGAGCTCATCTATCAGGAATAATTTTTTGTTCTGCTCTTATCTACTATCCATTTCTGTGTAATCTATTTGACAAGCTCAAAAAGAAGCCCATGCCTTCTGGAGCTTTTGAACTCCCCAACTGGATCCTGAGGGCTAGCACCAGTCACACTTATATGCAATCTACATTTTTTTAAATTTCATACTGTATAAGGGAGCATCATTGAAACCCTCTGAAGTCAAATGTAAAACTCAGCCTCAGCATCCCCGTTACTGCGTCTGCAGAGTGCCAACGCCATACATGCCTCCCTGTGAAGGATTAACATCAAAGCAAGTTCTCTCTGAAACCTTAACTGACCCACAGAGCTCTTAATCAAAGAAAGGGAAGGAAAGCAATTGGCACCCATATACTAGAGACCATTCACCCTCCAAGTTGCCTCCTGGCCCCTGCAGTGCACAAAATGTGACCTTCCCAAGGTTTAAAAAGATCAGAGTATGAACATAATTTTCAAATAGAGCAGACAAAAAAGAAAAAACGAACATAACACAGAGTTTGTGAAATCTTTGTGGCACACTTATTAAAAAATGGAGGTTTTCAAATATTATTCAAAAGTTGAGTTTTTTAGATTTTTAGTAATACAAATAGTAAAATCAGCTGCCACAAGAAAAAAAGTTGTTCCTTAGAAATTTTTATTTTAAACATTTATCATTTGAGATTGAAAATAACTTCACACATTCTCCAAGCATAAAATTAATATAGTTTTCTAGTTGCTCTCATGCCAGGGACTCTTACCTCACAAGTTCTTTTTTTTCTTAAGCTTTATATTTAACAAATATCACAGGTCTGATAGTTAAATTGGGATATGGAGTAATAGTCATTTCACTAGGAAGGATTACTTTGAGCACAAATATAAATTGAGCACATTTTTAATGAACAAGTGTGACATGTCAGTGTATCAGATTTTATTCAATGCTTTTCACTCAAACATCGAAATGGCAATGCAGTACAATTCCAATGTAGTACAGTGGAAAACATAAATATAGGTCTGGAAATTATCTTTAGACCTGTCTGGTCTGAATCTTGGCTCTACCCCTGACCCTGGGCAGTTCTCAGCCTTTCACTCCTCCACTTCCTGATGGGGATTCCAGCCCCTTCTCCAGACTGTTGTAAGGATGCTAGTGAGATGATGCATATAACGGGTCAGGCTAAAAACAGAATCAATAAATACTCCATAGCATACTAAATTTTCAGACATGGGATGAATCTGTACACTCACAGAGACAGAGCTAGGATCCCTCACTGTACTTTCTGATAATTCTTTCACCCTAAATAAAGATTCTGCAGCCTCTTTTGGAAGAGAAAAAAAGAGGCTGAATGTGGGAATA